GGGGTACGGGGGCCAGGAGCTGCTGAAAGGCATCGGGTAGTTCTCTTCCTTGATGGTGACCTGGAGGTCGGGCTTGTTGGAGGTCACGAAGGTGGCCATGCTGGGCAGCAGGTAGGTGCTCCGCGTGCCCATGTTGCTGAGGTACTGCTTGCCTTCGATGTTCCGCTTCCGCCAGGGCGGTCGTCCCTTTAAAGAAAATGAATGAAGATGTGTTTTCTTTCCCTCCTATTGGCTGGCGCTTAAAAAAAAGTACCACCAGCCCCACGTGTTAGGAAACTGATTTCCTAAGAGTCGTGGAAGGAAGGGGAGCTTAGCAACTCTACGGCCCTCCCTCCACTGACACCATGCCAGCTCGGCAGGCCCCGCCCGCGGTGGTTTCTCTTCCCTTTTCATCGGTTCCCATTTGCTGCCTCCCGAGCACAGCCAGGACTGTTCTATGCAGGCAGGAAAGCAGGGCAGCAGCTTGGTATCTGGTTCCCCTCTGCTCCCTGCCCGGCCCCGGCACTGGTGGCCGGTTGTCATGGAGACCTGGTTCCTCATGGATGGCCCCGGAGGGAGGGAAATGAGAAACAGCCCCACACCGGGAGCGCCCCTTGACTGCTTGGAGCTCCAGGGTGCCAAGCAGATGGCTAAGCCCCAGGGTAGCCTCCTTCAGAGGAGGAGCTGGAATGCTGACCTTGAAGACGTGGGTTGGGATGGCTGTGAGCCTCTACACCTGTGCTGTTTCTTCAGAATTCCTGGGCTACACTGGAGAGTGTGCGGTGCACTGGGGACCCACTAATTCAAACAGCCGTCAGTCGGTCAGACTGCCCCCCCTCCCTCAGACACAAAGCAGGCTTTGGCAGGGACGCTCTCCATCACCGCCACAGCCCTTTCCTGCCACGTACCAAGCAGCCTAGCAGAGAGACACAGGGGAAGCAGTGACCCAGAATCAGGACCCACACACACCTGCCCACAGGGGCGGGGCCGCAGGGGCGGGGCTCCAGGTGCAGTGGGATATTTGCTTAGCACTGTCAGACGCTCACATCTGGCTCCCGCTTTTGGTCACTGGGACGTACTATTTCTGCTAGAGAATTAGGCTGTTTATAGTGGTTGGAACATCAGCGTTTGCTGGCCTGCATTTCAGTTTCCTTTCCCTTCTCTCTTTCCAATGGTAACGTCAGCTCCCAAAGCTTCATGTTATCATTCAAAACCTAAAAGTCTGACATGTTTCATGTTCTGTACACTTGACCACACACACACACACACACACACACACATCCAAGAGTAAAACTCATGACCAGAAGGAAAGGAACGTAAGGAGGGAGGAGCGGGTGGGTGCTCACCTCGGCGCTCTCCTCGTCGCTGGGCACACTGTCTGTGGTTTCGCTTTCTGTTCATGAGAGAGAAACACAGGGCGGTCATTCCTGCCCGCAAACCGTCTCGAGGCTCAGGTGTTTAGAAAATGTATCAGCACTTCTTTTCCCAGAAGAGAAATGGGTACCTGACCTCCCAATCTCTATCCCCTTCCTAAGGTCAAACTCTGACCTTGGGAGACGCCAGAGTGGCCGTGGCCCTTCCGAGAAAGGTCTGAGAGCAGAGGGGGGGCTCGCTTCCCGTGGGCCAGGCAATATTTGCTCACGGCCACCACTTCCCAGGGTGGGGTGCTGGTCTCGAGGTGCCCTGCTGCTGTCTGCTCCCCACGCCTGCGCTCCTGCCTCCCGGCCAGGCCTGTCGTCACCGCTGCTGTATCCCCAGCCCCACACGGGTCCGCTCCCCCAGCCCATGTCAATCCGCTCACTAAGTCCCAACTCGCAGCCTTTCTCCATCACCCCATTTACTCAGATCCCTCCTTGCCCTCACACCCCTTTGGTACTGGTATCTGGGATTTGTAAGTTGCATCCAGGTCACTGTGGGGGGCTGATTCCAGGGTGGCCACCATGATCCTCACCCTGGTGTTTACCTTCTTGTGGGGTTCCCTCCTTGGGAGGGAGTGGGGGGTGGGGAGAAGACCTGTGACTTGCTTTAAATCAACGGAACACAGCGAAGGTGATTGGGGGATGTGTGTGATTACCTAAGGAGACCGAGACCTGTGTGTTGAAGAGAGTCTGTCGCTGGCTTCGAGGAAGCGAGCAGTCATGTTGGGAAGGTTCGTATGACAAAGAATTAAGGGCTGCTTCCCGCCAACAGCCAGCAAGGAACTATGTTTACTGTACCCCACACTGTAGGAGCTGGGACACAGACCCCCACTCAGTCCTCAGATGGGACAGCCCTGGGCCGCACCTGGACTGCAGACGTGTGCAGGGGGCCCTGAGCTCAGCCACGCCTGCACCCCGGCCCTCGGGAACAGGCGTTAATATATGTGCGCTGTTTGCAGCCACTGCATTTGTGGTTAGATGGCATGCAGCCAGAGGTAAGGAGTTCTGTGCCCGTCCTGACCCGCCTGCCCGCTGTGAGCCACTGCCCGGAGCTGTCGTTTCCTCGTCTGCAAAACGGGAGGCCGCTCCTCCAAGAGGGTTCGGTGACGAGTGGGTGAGGCGGGGACGAGGCCTGCCAGGGCCTGGGACGGGGCGCACTGGGTCAAGGGGACTGCGCCTCTGCCCGGAGCCCTAGGCCTTGGCCACACTGGATCTGCACCTGCTAGACCAACACAGTCCAAGTCGACGGCTGGTGATCACAAGTCACATATAATATAAGACTGTTTTAAGCAAATATAAGTTTTAATTTAAGTAAAAAATCTAAAAATTTTTTAAATTAAAAAAATTGTGTGCAGTTGCTCAGCGTTCACAGTTTTGAGAAAACCAAATACAAAGTGTAGAACTCTGGAAATACACAGACCGTGAGAGACCCTGAAGCTGGGTCATTCATTTTCCAGGCAAAGCCTGAAGGGCAACCATACGGTGAACATTCGCTGAGTGCCGCGGGCCAGGGCTGGGCCACGCCTGTGTACAGAGGCCTCGTTTGGCCTCCCGAGGATTGTTCATGGGGAGCAGTGCCCATCCTCCTCCCATTAAGCAGAAGAGCTCTCGGCCCTCAGGCCTCTAAGCCTTTCACCCGAACCTACTGAGGAACTGGCCTCCTGTCTCACTTCCTGCTGGTGGCGCAGCCGGGACTGGCCGGGCCGAGCCCAGCCCTGTTGCCCACCCAGAGCACAGGGCATAGACCAGGCTCTCTGGAACGAAGGCTGGAGAACCCGAGGACAAACCCTAGACGAAGAGAGCGAGCATGCTGACCACACGGCTCCACTCTGCAGCCTTTCTGCGGTTTCAGGGCCACTGTTCTCCAGCGACTTCTCCCGGGCATGAGTGATTACCGACGGGACCATAAGCATCTAGAAGATGGCCTGCCTCTCCTCAGATGAGGCAGATGTCCCCAAAGCATCTGCCTGGGAGTCACAGACTTGCTGGTAATGGCCATGGCTCCCACTCCAGCCTCAGATGAAATTTCAAGACCCGCTTCCCCTTGCTGTGCTGAGCTTTCTCTGGCTCTGAAGCCAAGGTTTCTCTTCCTTTCATACATGTCTTGACCCCTCCACTCCTAATTGCCCCCAGAGGTACCTTTCCCTTTCAATGAAAAACAAACAGATGCCAACAGGCATGGTTCGGGGCTGGAAATATGCAGACATGGGGTTCCACAGCCCAAGCCACAGCTGCAGGAGGGGTGGGAGGCAGACCCTGGGTGAGGCTCCTTGGAAGAACTCACACAGACCATGAGCATGAGCAGAACGTCAACCACCCTTTAAGTCCCAGCTTGTGGCTTCAGGGAAGCAGCTGGAGACAAGAAAAGACACACATGATCTGAGCTCTCGCTTCGGCTGACCCTGTGTGAGCTGAGAGCGTGTTTCTGAACTGAGACGATGCCCTGGAGTGAAGGCTCTCCACGTGCCACACCATTTCCCACGTGGTTTAAAGGCCCGGCCTTGGTGCCTTCCGCCCACGAGCAGGAGCAGCTGGACGCTGCAGCCGGGGACGCGGGCCCTTCTCTCTAGATGACAGTGGTCCTTCTCTCTAGATGACAGTGGTCCTCGGGCTGCCCGCAACCACAGCTCCAAGTGCTTTGCTGGGGGCGCTCAGGCCCAGTTCCTGGTTTGACTTCACCGTTATCATCGCCATTTTCCGGGTCCATTCATATCCCACAAATAAGCCCCCTGCGGCTGCTGCTTCCAGATCCGTGTAAGTGCTGAAACTCCAGCAGGAGTTAGTTCACCTTTCCTGCTGATTACTTTGGATTTGGCTTTTTTATTTACTTCAAATAAGATGGAATTTTAAAAAAATATTGGGAGCTGCTTCCCTGCTGGTCTGAGTAAGTTCTGAGAGTGCTAAGAGGTACGCGACCAGCGATCATCCATGTCACCTTCCTGGGCTCCGCTTCCCGAAGGCCACTGGGGGGCGGGGGGCCTAGCTGATCGCAAAGACCCTCTTCCCGGGCCACAGCTCGAGGAGGACCCTGGCCTTAGGCTCCCACTGCACTTCAGCCCAGTGTTCACGGCCAAACCTTCTCGGGAACACAGGGCAGGAGGAACAGTATGTTTTCCAGGAAAGCCGTTCTGCACGCTGACATCCTGGTACGTTTTCTGGAAGGTTGTTGTTCGACAAGTGTCAGGAAGGTTGAGGAGGATTTCTTTCCCTCTATCATTTGCTCAATTGCTTTCATTAGGGCTCGATTGAAAGGTTCAAATCAGAGTGGTCTTCATCTCCAAGAACTTTATCCTTGCCCCCCACCCCCCCCTAGCAGAATGCAATGGTTTCTGTCAGGACCCCACATCTTCGCTGCCGGCTGCTGGTCAGCAGGCGACCTCCGTTCTCTGGGCTGTGACCGGTCAGTCCCTCGTGTCATGCTTCCTTCCCCAGCTGGTGTCCCACCCTCTCACCCGCCTGCTCCAAGCGCTCTGGTGGCTTTCCTTGGCTTTCCTTTCCGACACCAGCAGCCACCTAGCAACACCCTGCTGTCACCCCTCGGGCGAGAGGCCTGTGGGCGGACCTTCAGAGACAAATGTCTCTCCTCTAGGCTCCCCAGAAGGGCCCTGGGACCCCCTCCCCAGGATGGAGGTGTGACGGATCCAACCAGAACTCTCTGCTGCCTTCAAACACCCGAGGCAAGGACCTCCACTCAGAGAAACCCCTGGTCTCTCTTCTCGCTCACCATCCTGTTTAGACCAGAGAAGACAGACTTGCAGAACCGAGGGTGGTTTGTGATCCGGCTGGGATTACATTTCAGTGTCAGAAGGGGAAATAGCTAACAACAGCCTCCAAATACCAGTTTCCTAAACAAAGGAATGGGATTGGTTAGCGGAGGTTGAAATACAGTTGAATAAGCAAAACCAAAAAGAAAAAACACAAACCAACAAATAAACAGACCCACACCCTGTCATGGAAAGCAGGCAAACAGCCAATCCGATTGGGGACATACAGGTGGAAAGGGGACAACAACCAAAAAAAACTGCCGTTCCTAGCAGCACGCTCTAAATCCAACTCATGAGACTTACACCAGCCATGGCCAGTAACAGGTACGTTTCCCATATGCCCTCGGCTCTGGGAACGCCGCAGTGATGAAACATTTTGGCTCCAACCAAGAAGCCTCCCCCCCGCCGCCCCCCCAGGGCTCTGGAGAATCCAGATGTTGAGAACAACGGAAGGACTGAAGGCCAGACTTCAACAGAGCCGGCTTGCGCCTGCCAGCCCGGCACGGAGCCTTCTTCTGGGACCCATGCAGATGTCCTGGAGCAGGGAATGCTGTTCTCGGGGTTCTGATGCCAACGCAAGAAGCCACGGCTGGCGGAACAGCAGGGGGAGGCATTTCCAGCATCGCTGAGAAGACTTCAGAGAAGTCTATCAGAAAGCTCCAACCCGTTAAAAACCACATGGGCCCTACCTGGTTTGCTCAGTGGCTAGAGCGTCGGCCTGCGGACAGAAGGGTCCCAGGTTCAATTCCGGTCAAGGGCATGTACCTCGGTTGCAGGTTCCTCCCCAGCCCAGGCCCTGGTTGGGGCTCGTGCAGGAGGCAACCCATCGATGTGTTTCTCTCACATCATTATTTCTCTGGCTTTCCCTCTCTTCCACTCTCCCTAAAAGTCAATGGGAGAAAACCTCCAGGTGAGGAGGAACCAACACCGCCTGGGGAGTCGTGCAGCAGGAGCTGCAGCCACGTGCTGTAGCCACAGCCACGGAAGTCTGAGCAGAGCCGCTCCGTGTTCCTGGCTTCCGTCATCTCTGCTGTGAAACCCAGGCCGGAACATTCCGCCCTGCCTCCTGCGGTGGGTCTCTGTGATCACCAGAGGTGGACGTGTCCCGAGGGCAGAGCCCCGCGTGGCTGTCGGGGGCTGCATCTGGGTGGCAGGGCTCAGAGCGGGCCTCTGGCATAAGCTCCCTGTGGGTGCTCACTGTGCCATCCTGTGTTCACCCCTGGGCCCACGGCTTTCACCCGCATCAGCCCTGGATTCCTGATTTCAAAGAGGGCACTGTGATGGCGCCCAGGCTGACGGGTTATTCTCATGATCATGAAGTCAATGGGCGCCCAGCATCCACGTGGTTCCCAGGGCACAACAAACAGGCAGGAAAGCGCAGTGATGATTCCCGGGGGCTGCAAACCCCAGCGCGGGACTCGCACACAGGTGTGCAGAACGTGCCTGATGACTAAGTAACTGACAGCTGGCCCCGTCTGACAGATTATACGCTTCCTGCGGCCAAGGCGGTTCCCACACTGCTTTAGTGTTCCTGGCACCAGGGAAAGCCAGGGCCTTGAGGACACTGTGCCACGTGAAATAAGCCCATTCCCCAAAGGACAAATCCTGGGTGATTCCTCGTTAGAGGAGGCACCCGGAGTAGCCAAATCCACAGAAAGCAGACGGGGCTGACAGCTGCGGGGGAGGGGAAGAGGGAGTCAGCATGTAACGGGACAGAGGTTCCATTTGGGAAGATGAAAAAGCTGTGGAGATGACGACGGTGAGGGCTGCACAGCAATGTGAACGCACTTAGTGCCGCCGGAATAGCAAAATGGTCAATTTTATGGTATGTATATTTTACCGTAATTTTTTAAAAGTCAGTTAAAAAGACAGTTGGGGTTTGGGTTATTTAGTAATTGATAGCTCACCAACGCCCTGTCCCGGGGGTGGCCCCTGCAGCCTGGGAAAGGGACACTGGGAAGGATCCTGAGCCACGGATCAGAGCTGCCCACGGTCACTCACGGCAGGGCCTTGCTTCGTACTTTCAATGTTGGCAAGCGGTAGCACTGACTCAGTCACATTTCCTACTTGTGACCGAGTCCCCAAACACTGACTGGAGACCGCTGGGAAGGGAGCGGAGACGATGCGACGGTGGCGGGGAAAGGAGCCGTCACGCCTCGGAAAGGATGGAGAACCCACGGGTCGGGTTCCAACCCTGACTGTCTGGCCAGTTCCTGCCATGACAGGCCATTCCTGGGGCATCGGAAACGGGCTCAGCTGCCTGGCCCAATCAGAAGCTGTACTGAGTGAAAAAGAAGGGGAACTGTCCGGCCGGTGTGGCTCAGCAGTAGAGCGTTGACCCAGAAACCAAGAGGTCACCGGTTTGATATCTGGTCAGGGCACATGCCCAGGTTGTGGGCTCCATCCCCAGTTCGGGGCATGTGAGAGGCAGCCAATCAGTGATGTGTCTCTCTCATCAATGTTTCTACCTCTCTCTCCCTCTCCTTCCCCTTTCTCTAAAAATCAATACTATATATATATATATATATTCCTTAAAAAGGGGGGGGCAATGGGGCGATAAGGACACATATGTAATACCTTA